CCCCTCCCCTCTCCCCTCCCACATCAAGATGCCCCTCAGACATGGCAACAAGCCAGTCCAATACAGGCAATCATCCAATTGAGGCTCCCTCAACCCAGGTGTGTCAAGTTGACACTAAAGCTATCCACCACAGGAGGTCAGGACCAGACTCTGGGGTCAGGACCAGGCTGAGGGTTCAGGATCAGGCTAAGGAGTCAGGACCTGGCCTTGGGGTCAGGACCAAGGTCTGGAGTCAGGACCAGGATCAGGGGTCACGACCAAGGTCTGGGGTCAGGACCAGGATCAGGGATCAGGATGACGCTCCGGGGTCAGGAACAGGCTCAGGGGTCAGGATCAGGCTCAGGAATCAGGAACAGGCCTTGGGGTCAGGACCAGGGTGAGAGGTCGGGACCACCATCAGGTTTCAGGACCAAGGTCTGGAGTCTGGACCAGGCTCTGGGGTCAGGACCTTGATCAGGTGTCAGGACCAGGATCAGGGGTCAGGACGAGGCTCAGGAGGTCAGGACCAGGCTCCGGGGTCAGGATCAGGGATCAGGACCAAGGTCTGGAGTCAGGACCCGGCTCTGGAGTCAGGACCAGGATCAGGGGTCAGGATGAGTCTCAGGAGGTCAGGACCAGGCGTGGGTCAGGATCAGGATCAGGGGTCAGGACCAAGGTCTGGAGTCAGGACCAGGCTTAGAAGGTCAGGACCAGGATCAAGTTTCAGGACCAAGGTCTGGGGTCAGGACCAGAGTAGGAGTCAGGACCAGGCTTCGGAGGTCAGGACCAGGCTCCAGGGTTTGGACCAGGCTCAGGAGTCAGGAACAGGCTTTGGGGTCAGGATCAAGATCTGGAGTCAGGACTAGGCTCCAAGGTCAGGACACTGGGATCAGGTTTCAGGACCAAGGTCTGGGATCAGATCTAGGCTCTGGGGTCAGGACCAGGGTCTGGGGTCAGGACCAGGCTCAGGGTTCAGGATCGGGCTCAGGAGTCAGGAACAGGCTTTGGGGTCAGGTTCAAGGTCTGGAGTCAGGAGTAAACTCAGAGGTCAGGACCAGGATCAGGTTTCAGGACCAAGGTCTGGTATCAGATCTAGGCTCTGGGGTCAGGACCAAGCTCAGGAGGTCAGGAGTAGACTCCGGGGTCAGGTCCGGGGTCTGGGGTCAGGACCAGGCTCCGGGGTCAGGACCAGGGTCAGGTGTCAAGACCAAGGTCTGGCAGTCAGAACCAGGATCAGGGATCAGGGCCAGGGTCAGGGGTCATGACCAGGCCTTGGGGTCAGGACCAGGCTGAGATGTCGGGACCAAGATCAAGTTTCAGGAATAAGGACTGGGGTTCAGGACCAGGATCAGTGGTCAGGACCAGGCTCAGGAGATTACGACCAGGCTCACGGATCAGGACCATGTCTGGGGTCAGGACCAGGATCTGGGTTTAGGCTCAGGCTCAGGATTCAGGACCACGCCTTGGGGTCAGGACCAGGCTGAGAGGTGGGGACCAAGATCAGGTTTCAGGACTAATGTCTGGGGTCAGGACCAGGATCAGTGGTCAGGGCCAAGGTCTGGAGTCAGAACTAGGCTCAGAGGTCAGGACCGGGATCAGGTTTCAGGACCAAGGACTGGGATCAGATCTAGGCTCTGGGGTCAGGACCAGGCTCAGGAGGTCAGGAGCAGACTCTGGGTTCAGTACCAGGGTCTGGGGTCAGGACCAGGATCAGGAGGTCAGCACCAGGCTCTGGGATCAGGACCAGGGTCAGGGGTCACGATCAGGCCTTGGTGTCAGGACCAAGGTCTGGAGTCAGGACCACACTTGGGGTCAGAACCAAGATCAGGGGTCAGGACCAGGCTCCGGATTCAGGGTCAGGCTCGGGTCCGGACCAGGCTCAGGTGGTCTTTTAATTTGTTTCTCCGTTGCTGTAACAAAATACTCTGACCAACACTAACTTGGGGAGGAAAGGGGTTATTTGTCTTACATCTTCTGGGTCACAGTTCATCAGGGAGCCCAAGGTAGGAACTCAGGTCAGGAACCTGGAGGCAGGAGCTGGAGCACAGGTCATGGAGGGACGCTGCTTACTGGCTTGCTCCTCTGGCCCCTGCTCTGCCTCCTTTCTTATGCAACACAGGCCCATCTGCCCAGGGGTGGCATCACCCACAGTGGGCCACCCCCCCCAACCATCACTCATCACGATGCTTCTCAGACATGGCCACAGGCCAGTCCAACGCAGGCAATCCCCCAATTGAGGCTCCCTGAACCCAGATGTGTCAAGTCGACCCTAAACGTTTCCAGTTCAGGAGGCCAGGACCAGACTCTGGGTTCATGACCAGGGTCTGGGGTCAGGATCAGGCTCAGGGTTCAGGATCAGGCTAAGGAGTCAGGACCAGGCCTTGGGGTCAGGACCAGGTTTGGAGTCAGGACCAGGTTCAGGGTTCTGGACCAGGGTCGGGTTAGCATCAGGATCATGGGTCTGGACCAGGCTCAGGGGTCTGGACTAGGGTAGGAGTCAGGACCAGGCTCCGGAGGTCAGGACCAGGCTCCGAGGTTTGGACCAGGCTCAGGGGTGAGGATCAAGCTCAGGAGTCAGGAACAGGCTTTGGGGTCAGGATCAAGGTCTGGAGTCAGGACTAGGCTCCGAGGTCAGGTCCGGGATCAGGTTTCAGGACCAAGGTCTGGGATCAGATCTAGGCTCAGGGGTCAGGATCAGGCTCTGGGGTCTGGACCAGGGTCAGGGGTCAGGATCAGGATTAGGAGGTCAGGACCAGACTCCAGAGTCAGGACTAGGGTCAGGGGTCATGATCAGGCCTTGGGGTCAGGACCAAAGTCTGGAGTTAGGGCCAGGCTTAGGAGGTCAGGACTAGGCTCCGGGGTTTGGACGAGGCTCAGGGGTGAGGATCAGGCTCAGGAGTCGGGAACAGGCTTTGGGGTCAGGATCAAGGTCTGGAGTCAGGACTAGGCTCCGAGGTCAGGA